TAAAAAAATTAATAAAAAAATTAACTACTTGTTAGCCTTTTCAACTAAGGTACCGAAAAATGAAGTCAACAAAGTAGAAGCAAACGTCAACTGCTTTCAAAAAAAAAAAGAACCCACTCCACAACCTCTTTGTGAATTGCAAGTTATTAGGTAGAAATTAATATTGACAATGAAGTCCATAAAAAAAAATTAATATTGACAATGAAGGTTGTTGGGGGATTATGTTTGAAACTTAGAATGGCAAATCCATTGTTGCATATCCACGGTTTTGTACCTACATTTTTATGCATTACAATAATGTCAGTTGCGATGAGGTATTTATTAGTTTAACCAACAAAGTTTCTTTTTGGGTTGGCCTAAAAAAAAGTCCTGTTTTTATTGTAAACCAAAAAAAAAAGAATCATGAGTTAATGATTAGGAAAAAGGTTTTTTCAATTAGATATTTAAAAAATTAAGAAAAAAATATTTTAAAATTACGTTATTTTAATAAATTATTATTAAAAATTATTAAAATAATTTGTTTTTAAAATAAAAAATAATTTAATTAAAATACACTAAATTAATATACTAAAATTATTCTAAAAATACTATAGCCATCCAATTAAAAAATAGTTTAATTTTTTTATATTAACATCATAATGTACGAAAGTTACATTAAATTTTAATTAATTTAAAAATGATCCATGTCAAACTTTATAAAAAGAAACTCTTCAATATTTATTTTTTTATTTATAAGAGTTAAATTTAAAATTTTATTTAAAAAAACCAAAACCCTTTCACTCAAATATAATGTATTTGTCAGTAAAAAGTTTAAATATTTATTTTGTATTTAGTTTCACGCTGCAAACTTGAGGAATGTTAATGTTTGCTCGGATTGTCGGGTCCGTGGTCAATTTGCTACCAGAAATCTAAGTCATAAGTCTTTGAATTGTACCAAACTATTCTAATTTCTCACGAGTCTTGGATTTGTACCAAACCATTCTAATTTCTAAGTAAAAATTTTCATTGTTGAAATCTTTTTTTTTTTTTGTTTTTGAAGGTGGCAAGTGGGCAATTGGGGAGGAGGGGAGGGTTCCCTTGGACTTCAATCTGCAACTCAAAAAGGGTGATGTTGCACTAGCTTGTATTTAGATTCATGTGTCAACTTCCAGAATTTTAGTATAGAATTTACTTTTCGTTATATTATTGGAGAATACTACTTTTTTTTGTATTATTGAAGAATATTGCCTTTTCCATTTTTGTTTGTGGTCGAAATTGCGTATGTGAATGCATTTAATATTACCTGAGGTCAGCTGACCAAAACGGTTATATTTATTTATATATTATTTTATTTATGTATTTAAGTTGCATTTATCCATGGTTATACCATCATATAAATTTCTCTTTTTCTTTTTTAATTTTAAGTTATGAAATGAGAGTAAACATTTCTCATCCTTTTGTTTGTACCAACATGTTTCTTTACAGTACTATCATATAAACCTTATAAAATTTGAATGATGAATCCCCTTGTAAATTAAGTGAAGAAAAACTCTTATTGATCCACTGTTGTCAGGCTTGAATATATATAGGACTCATGAATTTATTGGAAAAACTATAAATTTGACTCTTAGGTACTTAAAACTTCTAAAACCACCATGACTTAAATATGAAAATTTCTCCACCCTATACCATCATGGCATCATCGGTAAATAGGAAATTTGGTAAGGTGCAGAACACTTCATTTGCATGTTCAAAACCAAATTCTCAAAAATTTTAACCACTCACAGAATGTCCAATACAAAGCACCATTTGCCAAACTAACCCCATTGACTCAATCTCGTGCTATGGATGATTAACATCTTGAATCTGTCTCCGAAGAAAAAGTTCCACAACTGCACATTTCTCAAATATCTTTTTTTTTGTTTAAATGTGCTTTAAATAGTCAAACGATCACAAGAACCATTATCTATTTGGGCTTTTTAAAGGTTTTTTTTTTTT